TGGCCACCCTCTGTCCTCCTGGCAGACGAGCATGTGACTTGAGGAGGGGACACTGTATTTTTTCTCTGTCGTGGTAAAATAGGCATAACATGAAGGTCACCTCTGGACCACCCTTGCTGGGCTCAGGGGCATTAAGCACATTTGCGTGTTATCACTGTTTTCAAATAGAATCTGCTCCGGAATCCGGGCTGGCTGGCCGGCTCCAGCCTGGTCCTCGGCCCTCTCACCTGGATGGCCACCAAGGCCAGTGGCTGGGCTTTCTGCCCGTGTGGTCCTATTGTAGCCCTGGGTCCGTCCTTTGTAGCCCAGTCCCTTCCAAGGCCGGCCTGGCCACTCTTAGCCCTGGAGTCTCCGATGGCCCCGGTGCCACCCGTCAGGCTAAGCCTCATTAGCAGGGCGTGGAAGGGGTCCCAGACTTCCGTGTTGGGCACCGAGCCCTCGAGGAGTGTTCGGGGTCCCTGAGCTGTGCCCTGCAGGAGGCGGGGACCGTGCCCATTCTACAGAGGTGAGGTGGTGTCCACTCTAGCCTGGGATGCCACCCCACATGATGGGGTGTGTTTTGGGGTCCCCCTTACTGTGTGCAGTTGGAGGAGTGCCAGGCTCTGGGTGGTATTCCCCGTGCCACCCTGCTTGGGGTGTCCCTGCATGGGACGTGTGTCACCAGGGAGAGGGGCTGTCAGGGATCAGGGCTTTCCTCCCTCTGCCCTCATTTGTGGTGACACTGACCCCTTGGGCTTCTGCCCCTTGTCTGTGGGGTGTGAGGCAATTCCCGGAGGCGGAGAGTGCTGGCTTCCCCCAGAAGGGTGCGGGGAGCTGGGGAGAAGAGGGGGTCTGTGGTCACTGCTTCGGCTGGTGAGCTAACTGGCTCCTGTCACCTGCTCTGTTTTAGGGAACACACAGCCCAAGGCCTGGTCTAGAGTGGACCCAGCGAGGCATCTGGGGGAGGATGGGCTGGTCCTCAGGACACGTTCACAGCCATTCACTTGAGAAAGGAGCCCTCCTTGCTGGGGCCCAGCACCCGGCACCCACGCCCATGTGCCCGCCATGGCCCTAGCGGTCACTGCCGCAACCTGCCTTGCTCTGCAGGGGACCTTCCTGAGGTGTGGACGTCCTCTTGAGGACGAATGTTCCTGTGATCTGCCGCCTGGCTCTTACGCTAGGCCTCATTGCTTTGGAAAGATGCCAACACACAGTCCTGCCTGGAGTGCTCTCGGAGACTGCGGAGGACATTAGGGTCCACCAAGGAAGAGCCCTCTTCTTAGGAAGTCTCTGTGAGGCTCATTTTTCTGCCGTTTGCCTGGTTCCAGGAAAACCTCGACAGGAGGGAGGCTCCTCGGGGGTCATGAACGGTGCCATCTGAGGGACAGACTTGAGCATGTGGCATCATTGTAGAGGGGAGAAGTCCGCCCAAGTCTGTGTGGGCTGCCTTTCTGTGCCAGGCTTATTCCGCTCAATAGAATGTTCTCCAGGTTCATCCACGTTGCCACCAATGACAGGATGACTTCATTCTTTTTAATGGCTCAGTAATATTCCATCATGGATGCATACCACATCTTGATCCATTTGTCTGCTGATGGACACGGTGTGTGATCCACATCTTGGCTACTGCAGGCAGTGCTCTAGTAAACATGGCAGTGCAGATGCCCGCTCACTCACGTGAAAGGTAAACGGGTGGTCTTGGAAGTGAAGAGCAGAGCTGAGGTTACTAGAGGCTGGGAGAGGAAAAGGGGAGGGAAAGCAGAGGGAAGGGTCCACAGAGAAGGAATGACACTGTGAGAGCAGGCATAGGTCCCAGTGCTCAGCTGGGCAGCAGGGGCTGCAGTGAATGGTGATTGACTGTGTATCTCAAAATAGCATCAGATTGGCGGGCCTGGCCCTCACCTGAAATCCCAGGGACTCAGGAAGCTGAGGCAGGAGGACTGTGAGTTCAAAGCCAGCCTCAGCAACTTAGTGAGGTGCTAAGCAACTCAGTGAGACCCTGTCTCTAAATAAAATACAGAAAAGGGCTGGGGGTGTGGCTCAGTGGTTGTGTGTCCCTGGGTTCAGTCCTCAGTACCAAAAAACAAAGAAAAGCAATGACAGATGTTCCCAACATGGAAAAGTGATGGACCTTTGAGATGACAGATATGCTAATGATCCCGATGTGACGGTCACACATTGCAGTCGAAGTGCTGCGCTGTGCTTCCTCCTTCCCCCTTCCTGTGTTTGCAGCGGCAGGTTGAACCAGGGCTCGCAAATGCTGGGCGAATGCTCCACCACTGAGCCGCCCACCCCACCCTGGCACCAAAACCAGCGCGCGGGTTGCTCGGGACAGCCGACAGCCAGTCACAGGCGGGGTGGAGATGCACCTCCCTCCAGGTGCCGGCTGCTGGGACTGCTGGAGCCACCTTTGCTGCTGGCTGGCCTGGCGACGGTGTGTCCACACAGGAGAGGGGGAATAAGCAGGATTTCTTCTTTTAAATCTCTGAGGAAGTGTGAAGGGTGAGCTGCTGACCAGCAGAGAGTGGCCACTGACTGGGCCTCGGGTGATGGCATCAGCTGCCAGTCAACAGTGGCCTGAGCCCCTCTGTCCACAGGCCCTGAGGCCAGGGCCACGGGGGACAGACTTCCAGGTGGCTGGGCTGTTGATTTCCACCGAGGGGTTTTGCGGCAGAGGCGGGTCACCTCTGGGAGAGCGCGGGCAGGCACTGGGACTTCCGGAGACGGCCGGCTCCTTAGGGACGAGCCACCTCTCCTGCTTGCACACCTGCAGTCGTGCAACCACCTCCCGCACGTACACACGCATTGTGTGCACATGGACTTCCGCACTGGCCACCGGGCTCCTCCCGTGAGCAGAATCCGCAACCAACCCCGGTTCCTAAAACATGTGCCGTGGCCCTTTCCTCTATCCCCAGCTGCTAACCCTCTGTCCCTCTCCTCCATGGTCTGCTTTAAGGCCCATCCGCAACTCCTCCTGTGTGGGTGGGAAACGCCCTTGAGTCTCCTGCCCGCTTGGGCCTGAGTGCATGCCTCCACCGCCCTCTGGGACACTGTCACTTAAGGATAAGGAAAGATGAGGCGCTGGGATCAGGCCGAGCTCAACTCCTCACTGGCTCGGGCTGTGACCTGGGGCAGTCACCCGACCTGGAGCCTCACCTTCCTGTCTGTAGAACAGGAACGACCCCGGGGCTGTCTTTTCAGGGAGCTGTGGGACTCAGACACCGACCCAGGGCCTGGACACGGCTCAGGTGGACACTGGTGCTGATCAGTGCCCGTTTCTGCCCTGCCTGGCCATTCTCAGAGAGCCTCTCCGTCTTCTGCGCTTGATTCCTCTCGCTCCCCGGAGTGTGTGCCGGGAAGGGCCGTCTTCTTTTCCCCGGGATCTGGACAGAGGCCGGCAGGACTGGGCAGGGGCCCGGTGGTTCTCTTCTCCCTGCCATGGGCGTCTGCCTACCTGGCTGTGGTTTCCCCTTTGGAGCGAGGGCTGGGATCCTTCCTAATTTACAACACATGGTTCCTTAGCAACCCTCTCTAACATAGGATCAGGTATAAAAATACTTTTGGTTAGAAATTCAAACATCTTCATTTATTATAGATCAGTGCTTTTTTAAAAGTACTTTTATTTTCCCTTCTTATTTCAAAAGCAATGCAAATTCATTGCAAAATATTGAGCATACTCAAGAGAGTCAGGAAGGACGGCCATCAGCCTTTTGTCACATCTCGGTGTACTCTTGCAGCTTTCACACACGACTGTCTATGTCCGGTTACAAGATGGGCCCTGCCCTCCACATCCCTCCTGTAAGTGGCTCCCCATTTCCTGATGCCCATCTGTCCAGGACGTTTTAAAAGGACTTTTAAAAGAACACAGTGTTTCCAGTCTGACAAAATGTGACTTCTCCAGGAAGAACCCAGGGCCTCGCTTGAAGTGTGGGCACTCTCATGGTGGCTGTGAAAGCCTCTCCCCAGGTCCACCTGGAACCAGAGATGGCCTTAGGCCCAGGGCCGAGGGGATGGATGGGTGGCCTGCTGCCATGGCATTTACTGGTAGAGGACAGTTACAGTGGAATGTGACCCCTGGAAGCCTGGACATGGAGTAGGGGAGGGAAGGCTCCTGTCCCCGAGAGGCAGGCAGTGGCTGGACACACATATGCTGGAGCCGCACCATCTGGGTTAAGTCCCACTGCATCTGCCTGGAGCTTTGGGACTGCTGTGGAGTGTCTCCCTGTGGTAGTCAGCTTTACATTGCTATAACAAAATACCTGAGATAATAAAATCATAAAGAGAGGAGGTTTATTTGGCTCATGGTTTCAAGGCCTTAGTGTTTGGCTGGCCCCGTTGGTTTTGGCCTGTGGTAGGTGGCTCATCATGATGGGAGTACATGGTGGAGCCAAGCTGCTCATATCATGGATGGCAGTGAAGGAGACGAAGAGGAGGAGGCTGGGTCCCCATATTTCCTTCAAGGACACACCCTCCATGATCGCAAGACCTCCCCTTAGGCCCCACCTCCATGAGCAGGGGCCAGACCCTGAATGCATGGGCCTTGGGAGACCTTCTAGATTCAAACCACAGCACTCCCCAGAGTTCCCACTCTGGCAACTAGTCCCCAATTCACATGTTGGTAGCATCTGGAGGAGGGGGCCTTTGAGAGGGAGTCAGGGTGAGGTGAGGTCCACCGGAATGGCCTTAGTGGCTCTATAAGAGGAGACCAGAGTGAGCCCACTGCTCCATCTCATTGTGGGTCGCCCTCCCAGGTGTCGGGATGCAGCGAGAAGGCCCTGCCCGACACCTGCACCTCCAGGCTGGGCCCTCCTCCTCCAGGACTGTGAGGAATAAATCCCTCTTCTTTATAAATCACCCAGCCTTGGGTATTCTGTTTTAGCAACACTTCACAGACTCAGCGGGTGATGTCGGCCGTGGGACTTACGCTTCCTCTGTGCCTCAGGTTCCTTATCGTAAGATAGGGATCAGGATCGTGTCTCTCTCCTAATGTAGTTTAAATTAATATCCACTTGAAGGAGGCTCAGAAGCAGACCGTGGAGAGCCCAGCTCAGGCTTCCTCTGGAGTCCTGCTGTTCTAGGTCAGTAGTGCTTAGCCCTGGCCACACACCAGTATCTCCACAGGAAGCTCTGAAGACTCCTGGTGCCTGGGCCCCACCCAGACCCACTGGATCAGAGCCCCTGCCCTCTGTGGCCCCAGGACCAAAGGCCTTTGGTTTTTTTTTTTCAAAGCTCCCCCAGGCGATTCTAATGTGTGGCCAAGTCTGAGGATCCTTGATCTGAACCCAACCGAGAAGGAGCCCGTCTGCCCAGCCAGCCTTTGATCGGCAGCAGAACTTCACTGTGTCAGTCGGGGACGGTTACCTGGAGCCACCCGTGGAGAAGTGAGGATTTTCCTGGAGGTTCAAAGGTATGCTGCGCTTGACCGTCAGCCCTCCTGCCTGCCGGGTTACCTGGGGAGCTCAGCGAAATGACATCTTCTTGCCTTGGCTGCCTGGGGATTTTATTCAGTGGGTCTGCTGTAATGGAATCCAGGAATCAAGATTTTTATTTTTTAAATTTTGAAAAAAAAAAAAAATTGAAACAGTAACCGGATATATTTATGGGGCATGGTGTGTGACATTTCAGTAAGCGTCTACAGTGAGTAAGGACCAGGGGAGGTACCTGGCATGTCCTTCGCCTCCAACATTCATCTTTTCTTTGTTGGGAACGTTCCAAATCCTCTCTACTCCCTGTTTTGAAATTTTCAATTAATGTCTGCCAATTGATTTCTGTCAATCGGCCGTCTGTGGAGTCGAGCATCGGGAGTCACGCCTGGCCAGCTGCCCCCTGTGCCCGGCAGCTGCCCTCTCCACCCCTGCCCACCCTGCCAGGCCCTGGTAACCACAGTGCTATTCTCTCTACTATGAGATCAGCTTTTTTTAGCTTCCACAGAGAAGTGAGATCATGCGGTTCCCTCTCTGGGCCTGACTTGCCTCACTTAGCATAATGTCCTCTAGTTCCATGGACATTGCCGCAAATGACAGGATTTCAGGATTCTGGTGTTGCGAAGAACCCCCAGCACAGCGCAGAGAGGTTCTCCCAGGGCTCTGAGCCCCGGCTTCTCAGCTACCCTGTGGGCCCGCGGAGGACCGTGCCTGGAGGGGGGGGTTGATGGATTCCAGGGATCAGTCTGGGTTCAGGCCTGTGGGGGCTGTGTGGCAGACGGGTGGGCAGGAACAGAGGCGGCAGGTAGTGAGTGGGCCTCACACCTGTGTCCTCAGACGGGCAGCAGGCCTCCGCTGAGCTGGAAGGGACAGTCTTGTGTTAGAGTCTGTAAACAAGTCAGGATGGCACCTGGCATTTTGCCAGAGAAATGTTAGAGTCTGTAAACAAGTCTGGATGGCGCCTGGCAAAATGCCAGAGGGAATAATTTATGAAGTAACACCAGCGAGCCATTAAGTGTGGAGATTCCTTATTGGTTGACTGATGTATCTAGTTTATGCTAATTAGATAAGCTGTGTGGAATGTATAAATACTGCTCCTGTCCTGCAATAAACGGTTCCCACTCCTACTATATCAAGGTACACAAGTTGTTCGTCACCCCCCAGTTATTTTGCTGCAGCCGGACTGCAGCAGTCTTGCCCAGGCGTGGGCTGCCTCCCGGCGGCCAGAGCCTGACCACCGCACCTGCCGTCCCAGAAGGATCAGCCCTCTTGTTGAGCCCCCAGGCCTTTTGTTGTCCTGCAGGGGGACATTTCTGTAGGGTATTAGTGTCCTGTGCTGCTAGAACAACTTACCAGAAACGTAGTGGCTTAGAACAGCAAAAACTCATCTTACAGTTCTTACAGAATCCAACACGGATTCCACTTTTCTGGCTTCTAGAAGCACCTGTTTCTTGGCCTTCCTCCGTCTCCACGGCCAGCCTTGGGTGGACTGAACCCTCAGTGGGATCACTCTGAACTCTTCCCTCCCTCTCTACTTTTAAGGCCCTCCTGGCTCCACAGGGCCTGCCCCGTGTGACCAGGACACTCTCCCTGTTTTAAGCTCTGCTGCTTAGGGACCTTACCTCCGTCATAGCCTTGGCTCTCCTTTGCCAGATGAAGTGACGGGTCACAGGCTCTGAGCACCAGGATGTGGGTGTCTTTGGGGACCATCAGATCTACTGTCTTGACCAACTCTTTAGATCTTTAACGGCATCAGTCTCAGTGAAGTGCTAGTAGCCCATGTCCCCCACACGTAAACTCCTGCAAGACTGACCCGTGTCTTATTCTGACCTGAATTGCCCATGACTTGTCCTTCAAATTGGGGCTACTGGTATCTTGGAAACCTAGGAGAGCTTTCCAGAGTTAAAGGTAATTTAGAAGAAGCCATTTCAGTCTTTTTTATTTTTTTTTGCAATGCCAGGACTCAAATCCAGGTCCTCATACATGGCAGGCTCTCCACTGAGCGCACCCGCCCCACCTGCAGGTCTTTCGTTAGCAGTGAGTACGGACTGGGAAAGTGCCCACGTGGTGGGGGTCCTCTTTTCCCTCCTGCCAGAAGTTTTGTTAAGGAAGACCCAACTCCCTTCCCTTGAAGAGCTGGATAGTGACATTCAAATACATCCAGGCCTCCCCTTGTCCTGATCAAAACATACGTTCTCAACAGATTGTACAAATACATTTAACATGTAGGTATCAAAGTTTGTAATATATTTTTGATGCCTTGATCAAATGTGTATAAATAAGAATTGGGATGATAGCTGAATCCAGAAGAAAAAATTTAACATGCTCAGAGTCTGATGGTGCCAGGAAATAAATAGTAAATTAGAATTTCAGCTGGACATGATGGTGCACACCTGTAATCCCAGTGGCTTGTGAGGCTAAGGCAGGAAGATCACGAGTTCAAATCCAGCCTCAGCAACATAGAGAGGACCTAAGCAACTTAGCAAGAACTGTCTCAAAATAAAAAAACAAAAAGGGCCGGGAATATTGCTCAGTGGTTAAGCACCCCTGGGTTTAATCCCTGGTACCAAAAAAAAAAAAAAAATCCATTTTTATAATTTTTCTTGCATGGAATTATGATACTGAGATTTATGTCTAAAATTGTGATTATAAAAAGATTTCTAGGGGCTGGGGTTGTGGCTCAGTGGTAGAGCGCTTGCCTAGCCCATGTCAGGCACTGGGTTCAATCCTCAGCACCAGATGAAAATAAATAAAAGTATAAAAAAAGATTTCTAGCATAAAATTATATCATGATAAATAAATTTGATTTCAATGAGGAAAAAGGAAAAATGTAAAATAGTCTGACTCACAGTTGTTCATGCACTCTTTTTTAAATAGCTGATGGTAGGTATCAAATTGCTGTGGTATTTAGACTCCATAGGAAACATTGAAAGGAGTGATGTAACCGTTTTATTTCTACAATGTCAATATTTACAACACAGTGGGGATTACATCTTTTGTACAATTTAAATTTATGATAAAAAATTTGGATGTCAACCAAAAATGTGCAAGGGCTACACAGCGTGTCAAAGTTCTTTAGAGGATTCTGTAAGCTTAAAAGTTGAAAGACTCCTGCCCTGTGGTGCCTGGTGCACAGTAGGTGCTTAACAAAGTGTGAGGAGGAAAGTTGTGCAAATTAAAGTGATCACACAAAAGCTTAAAGTGAGGTTTTAGTATGTGGAACAGGTGGGACCCTCCAAGGGTGCCTTACAGGCACTCCTCCTCACAGTCCCCGAGCCTCTTGGGGACTCTGGCATTGTAAGAAATCATTAGCCTCCTTTTTCAGACTAGGAAGTTGGGGGTTGGCTTAAGGCAGCAGAGGCAGAAGTGACAATATGGCTCTGCCAGCTCTATGAAGAAGAGAGCTTAGGGAGGGAACAGAGATTTGGTTGTTCATTCCTCCAACTAAGCAAGCAGCAGCCGGCCAGCCAGCCAACAGCGGAATATGCAACCACCCAGCCAGCCACGTAGCCAACCACCCATCTAACCATCCATCCAAGCACCCATACAACCACCCATTCAATCATCCACTCAACCACCCATCCACCCAGCCAACCACCCATCCATCCATCCAATTATCCAGCCAACCACCCATCTAACCATACGTCCAAACACCCATCCAACCACCCTGCTAACTGGTGAAAGATACCACCACCATCCACCCATCTAACCACCCATTCACCTAGCCACCCATTCATCCAATCACCACCCACCCAACCAGTTTCAAGGAGCCCTAGCTCCCAGCCTGGAGCACAGGTCAGGAGTGTACAGTTGAGTGTGGTTCTCTCCCCTGAACTGCGGTAATAAAACATGCAGCCTCTTGGCCTTCCCTGGCTTCTCCTGGAGACCCCCAGCTCTGCTTTTGGAGTTGTGTCTGCCTGGCAGAACGTGTTCCTGGTAGGAGGGAATTCGCTCTTCATGCTAGTCGTAGTTGGCTGTGGGGTCCCCGCTGCCCTCCTCTCCCTCTGTGAGTCCCCCACCTCCACCTGTGCTCCTGGCTGTCTCGGACTGTCGATTCCTCATTAGCAGGAGGGAGTCCATTTTTAGGAGTGATGAGTAGATGGAAAATTGTCACTGATCACTCATGGCAGATGCCGCCGGAGCTTAATTAAGGCCAGACGGTGCAGCTCAGTGACTTTGTAGAAGTGCAGGAGGGAAGGGTGCTGGGTCTCAGCGAGATCCAGGGGCTCGGGCAAACTGACTTTTTGGTACTGGGGATTGAACCCAGGGGTGCCTACCACAGAGCTACATCCCCAGCCCTTTTTAAAAATTTAAAATTTTGAGATGGGGGTCTCGCTAAGTTGCCCAGGCTGGCTTCAAACTTGTGATCCTCCTGCCTCAGCCTCCAGAGCTACGGGGATACCGGCATGCACCCCTGCTCCTGACCTTGGGAAAACTTTTATCATCAGTTTGTAATAATAAAACGGAGCAGTCTGTTCTCTGATGTAGAGGATGTAAAATTGGACAAGATGTAGTTCTGCTTTCATGGAAATAATAATAAAATTTTAAAAGTTTGTGGGTGAAAAGAAACAATGAGGCATCACATTGTGTTTATGCTCCTGCCCGGTCCCTGAACCTCCTGGTGTGGATGGAGTTGGAGTCAGAGGGACGGGGTCCCTGTCTTTGACCTCTCTGCTCGGGGACCAGGGGCCCCCGGGCCCTGGGTTCTGAGGGATGATCACTGGTGGGAGGTGAGAACTCGGGCGGTAAGTCACCCCTGGAGGGAAAGCAGAATGGGTGTGAAAATCTTCAGGACCAATGTTAATTGAATCTATTGAAAACCCTCGGTCTGTTTCCTGTGCACTGGAAGTCACATCCTAGTGCCTTATTGTGGCTTCCAAGTGGCTATGGGGGGTGAAGAAGTCAGGAACCTCCCTCCCTCTAGGATTTTGGGAGAGGTGACGGGAGTTGGTCAAGGCTGGGGCAGGAGAGGGGTTGAAAGGCAGGTACAGGGGAGCCCTGGGCGATGGTCCATTAGGTGTTGGAGTGGGGCATGAGTCAGGCCCCTCTCTGGGCTCTGGGAGAGATGCTGGGGAGGACTGGAATTGTCTTTATCCTTGGCTTCTGGATGCCACTTCCTAGAATGTGACACCAGACTGTTTTAATTTGCTTGGGCTGCCATATGGAAGTGAGCCATGGACTGACACTTGCAAAACTCTGAGATAAACCTTTCTGCTTTATAAGTTGATTATCTCAAGTATTTTGCCACAGTGATGGACAAGCACTCTACTACTGAGCCCCAGCCCTACCCTGCTCTTCTTTATGGAAAGGGAGATAGTCCACTCCCCTTGTTCCTTGTCCACATGACCCCAGGCCCTGGTTGGTGGCAGCCTGGCAGGAAGGATGGAGGGACAGTGCAGGAGGCCCAGGCACATTAAGTTCAGCAAGACCCAGTGCCAAGGAAACACACTGTCTGAAGAGAAGGGCCATTGCTAAAGGCTTTCAGTGCTAAGGCAGGGGTGAGCTGTTTGAACGTTGGTGCTCATGATAGTACATGGCTCAGGCCTCAGTGAAGGGTATAATTCTATTGTGGGATTCCAGTGAGCTCATAAGCCACAGAGCATGGCCGGTCAGCAGATCGCAGGGTTCTGTTACCACGCAGCTTGTCAGCCAGGCCCACTGTGGCTCCGCCTGAGGACGGAGCAGCCAGGGCTCCCCTGAACTGTGCCCTAAAGAGGCCTTAACTACAGAGATCAGTTCAGTCAGGGCATATGTGGGTGTGTACGTCTGTGCATGTCCCCATCTACAGTGTGGCCGGGAACCCAGTGGGACAGCGTCACGACGTGGTATCTGTTCGTAAAATTTCTATGCAAAATATTCTCTCTTGATGTGCCATAAATAGGTGGGGCTCCCTGAGAACTCTGTGAAGCAGCTCTTACTTGATTCCTGGAATCATGACAGTGAACGGGAAAAGTGGCACGGGGAGGGACGACAGGGCACAGTGGGGCCTGTACACAACATGATCCGACCCTGAGTTGGCCAAAGTGAAGTCTCTCACTACAAACATGCCTGCAGTCTGTGTGAAATTCTGGGATATACGCTTATCTTTCTACCAGACCGTGGATCTGCAAGCCGCAGTCTTTGGGTCAAAATCTTCAGGACCAATGTTAATTGAATCAACTGAAAACCCTCGGTCTGTGTCCCGTGCACTTGAAGTCACATCCTAGTTCCTTATTGTGGTTTCCAAGTGGCTGTGGGGGATGACGGAGTCAGGAACCTCCCTCTAGGGTTTTGGGAGAGGTGACGGGGGTTGGCCAAGGCCACCTGTTTTTGTCAAGTTTTATGAGAGCACTGCTGTACGTCCATTTCTTGAAGTACTGTCTGTGGCTGCCTTTGAGCACAGTGGCAGTTGTACTGGTCTGCTTTCCATTCCTATAACAAAACGCCCGAGTGAATCAGCTTCTATCAGCTTATAACAATGGTGGAGGTCTCAGCTCTTGACTCGTCCCCCATATTGCTTTTGGGCCTCTAGTGAGGAAGCACATCATGGTTTGGGAGCCCATGGTGCGGAAAAAGCCGCTCACCTCACGGCCAGGGAGGAAGAGAGACAGGAAGAGGCTGGCTTCCCACAGTCCCAGGGACCTAATGGCTTCCCACAGCCACCTCTTACAGTTCCTACCACCTTCCAATGGCACCACGCTGTGGACCAGGCCTTTAACATGGGCACCTCTACGGACATTTAAAATCTGAGCCATAGCAGCAGAGTAGCTTTGTGAGAACACGTGGCCTTCTGAGACCGAACCGCTTACCCTCTGTCTGTTTTGGGAAGTGTCTGCTGGCTCACCCTGGACGGGCTTCCGGGGGCGGCTGGGTGCAGGCTCCATGCTCAGGCACGGTTCACGTGCAGGAGGGATCTTGCGCCATCCTTGGGAGGGCTGTGGCCGCTGATCCCACTCCACTCTTCCTTCTCCTGATGCCAGGGTCCCAGAGGAGGGTCTTCACGCCTTCTAGCCCATCCTGAGGGTTCTAGTGCTCCCACTCGTTTAGTGGTTTGGGCTCCGGCATGTGACAGCCTTGTGGCCAAGCGGCGGTGAAGGGAAGTGTGCTGGCGGTCCCCGAGGAGGGAGACCCGTGGGGCAACTTCACACGCAGGAAGGAACTCCAGGGGCCCCGACCTGCCTTCTTTTGCCTCTGGACATTGTTGAGCAAGGACACGGTGCCAGCAGCAGTGATGGCATCTTGGGGCAAGTCCAAGGCCAACAGCCAAGAGCTGGGGACGTCAGAGCGGCAGGATGGTTCCCGCTGACCCAGTGAAACCAAGTTACTCAGTGCAGATTTGCCCTTTCCTACGTTTTGTTGGGAAATTGCTTTATCGTCCATTTGCTTTTGATGGACCTGGACGGGAGACCGCCACGTGCTGTGTTCACGTCCTCTTTCCTTGGCTGGGGCTTCTGGCTTTCATGTCTGTTTACCAAGGTGACATCCCACAGATCTTATGAAATCGTTCCGTATGTTCTTCTTACATTATTGGTTTTTTTTCCATTTAGAATTTTACTCCGTCAGAAATCAATTCTTTTTGGAATGGTGCGAGGGCCATGACTTTGTATTGTTTTCTTCTTTTCCAGATGCAGAAATGATTTCTGGAGTGCGGGATGGTGAACGAAATCCATTGTAAATCCGTAAAGAATTTTCATAAAGACAATCTATCTATTCTATGTTGGAAACTAATGGGGTAAAATCGTTTCTGGTAGATATCGTCTTAGGAAGTGGCCACACGAGATGAGGACTTTTAAGTGCCATAGTTATGCACTAGAGTATCTTCTAATTTCCTACAAGGACTCAGAGGAACTGGAAGGTCTCCAGCACAGGCCTCGATTTAAGACACACTGTACAATGAGGGGACACTGTCCCTGTCAAGTACAGTGGAAACCAGAGTTTTGAGACTAGACTCTGCCAATTTCCTCCTAGGTTCTTGCCTCACAGATTTGAAGAATAAAATCCACAGACAATGGTGGGAGGGAAGATGGACAGAGCACTCCCAGGATGCAGGAGCCGTGCAGCAGGAAGGCCCACTGTGCTGTGCCAGCCTAGGGGCTGACAGGGCCTTGGGTATGAGCAGGCTTGACGTTTTCGCTGAACAGGCAGCAGGGAAGTTCTGAGGCTGCTGGCTGTGTCTTCAGCCTGGGTCCTGATCCCTCCTGTGAAGCCCATCTGGCTTCACCCCTACCTTCTGTTCTGACTCTCGGGGAAGAAGGAGCTGGATGCTCCTATGGGTGATCCTCATGGTCTTTTCCATTTGAAAAAGACTTTGCTGTTGCCTATTGATACTTCTTTTGCCTCCTGGCTGGTCTCTGCCTTTGAACAAGGCCTTCCCTGGGGCCCGCTGCCTGACCACTGTGTGCTCTGATTCACATCTGCATCACTGATGGGGAACACCTCCTGAATGACGTGTCTTAGTGTTTCATCGCTGTACGAACTTCCTACATCAGACGGACATCTACAAAACCTGTGATGAGGCCTGCTGCAGACCTAGGTGACACAGCATAGCCATTGCCCCCGGTCGGCAAAGCTGAATAGCAGGTGCTCAGTGCTGCAGGCAGCTGTAACACAGTGGTGAGTCCACGTGTGTCCAACCTTGTCTAAACCAGGAGGTCCAGCAAGAACACTAGGCAACAGGAATCTCCCATCCTCCTTACAAGCTTAGGTGCCACTCACATGTGTGTGGTCCCTTGCCAATCAGAATGCTGCTGTCCAGGGCATGACTGTATATTCTGATCACGCCACCCCAGGTAATATATTGCATTATGTCCTGGTGGTGGTTAGGCATGTTGACAGAAAAAGCCAGAGTAAAAACTTATCAGTACCTTGCATTGTGTTGATTTTGAACTCCAAAAGTTCCTAGCTACTGAAGATCATTGATACAAGGGAACCTAAGTAAATCCTCTCAAATTAGGGAGCGACATTCCTTTCTTATCGAATCTAAAACAAACATGCAAATCAACAGGAAAAAACCCTGGCTCGTCTTATGGTAATTAAAATCTACTTTCAATAAATTAAAAGGAAAACATACTTAGGAGATATTTGTGATACATACTTACACCAAAAGGGAGTATCAGGAATATGAAAAGAACCTTGCAAATCAATAAGAAAAAAAGATAGGAAGATGTAAGAAAAGAAAAAGGGAAAATGGTCCAAAGACCAATGAACTGGTATTTCTCAGAAGAAGAAGCGTAAAAAGCCAGTCAGTTTATGAATTCTTGCTCGGGATCATTCGGGTTTGGGAAAGTCAGACAAGATCTCCGTGAGCTTGCCTTTCACATCTATTTAGCTGGAGAAAACCTACCTCAGGTGTAACCAAATTTAGTCTACAATTGTAACCCTGTACTAATTCTTGGCACATAGTAGTCAGATTCAAATGTCGATTGTGTGCGTGTGATTTTCCTATTCCATTCTCTCCCTTCCTCTTTTACCCAATCATAATATAATACTATCCACTGTCATAAAAATGATCAATTTTGACAAAAATTTAATGTTTAAGGACATCAAATTCTAACACTCAAGTAATTCTTTTTCTTAAAAAATATTTTTAATTGTCAATGGACCTTGATTTCACTTATTTATATGTGGTGCTGAGGATGGAATCCAGAGACTCACGTGTGCCAGGCAAGTGCTCTACCACTGAGCCACAGCGCCAGCCTAAGTAATCCTGTTTTGAAACCCTGGTTAGCGTATCCCCGCAGACTTCCGCTCCGCATGATGAGTTAATTGAGCAGACGAACCAGATCCTCCTCTGCAAAGCCTGTATGTGGCTTGAGTGCCAGTCCCTCTGCTGGGATTCCTGCAGCCTTAGGAAGATCCCTGGCCTCACTTTGCTTTAAGATGACACAGCATTGTATGGCATCGTTAGCTTCCCAGTGAGTCTGCTTCTGTCTCTCTAGCAAGTAAGTGTTCCTTTTTTGGTAATGGCACTCTAATTTTCAAGGAGAGAGCCACTAGCCTCCAACTCTCAGCTCATACAGTTTGAGGCTACTCCCACCTCCAACTCAAGGGGTGGGCATGGGTCCCCGGCCTGCCAATCAGGGCAGTGGCTACGGTGATAAAATAAATCCTTGGGTACCAAAGACCCTTGATTTTTTGAAAAATTGGATGCATCCCTAACTGGAATGGACATTAGCATTAGCAGTCTCCTAGACTGCTAGAACAAATTGCTTTATGCAATGGCTTAACACAGCAGATATTTTCTTGCATTTCTGGAGGTTAGAAATCCTACATGAGTCTCACTGGCTGAATTCAAGGGGCTGGCAAGGCTCTGGGGAGAATCCACTCCCTGCATTTTCCAGCTTCCTTGGCTTATGGCCCCCCTTCTCCACCTTCAAAACCAGCATGGATGGGCCAGATCCTCACATTCTAGCAACCTGGTCTCCTCTTCTGTCAACCTCTTCCATGTTTTTGGGACTTTTGTGATAATAAGAGAACCCCCTCTCCCAACAGACAATTCAGGACAAGATTTCTATTTTAATAGATTATCAATGTTAATTCCATTTTCCCTGTAAAATCACACATTCCCAGATTTGGGGGGATTAAGATGGGGGTGTCTTTAGGGGAGATGTCATTTTCTGCTTATGACAGCAGTTTTTAATTATCTACCTTGATAAATATAGTACTTTAAAGCCATATTGCTTTAATAGTGTGCTAATTGAGAAACCTTCTGCATCTGAGGTGGTGACATTTATCATGGAATTTGTCCATCTGCAATGAGCAGTCATTGACTGTTTGCCCCTCGCCCCCCTTATTCTTTGAGCTCCCATAATTTGGAATGAATTATGAGGGAACATACTTTACCAGCATAGACAACTGACCCTGGTCTTGGGCTTCTCATGTCACTTATGATAAATCCATTAAGTGGAATTAAGGCTTACACTAAACCTTCCACCATGCTGTTGATCCACATTGGTTCTCTCGAGCCTGCTAACTTCCTTTTGGTATCAGCAGCCTGATTTTCTTAGGGAACCACCTTTTCTCCAACTTCCAGTTCATGCTGTTTAACTGAGCCTGCTCCCACCTCCAACTCCAAGGGTGGGCAATGGGTCCTCAGCCTGGCCAGTCAGAGCACTTGTATTTCCTTGACCACAGTGATTGGTTTAGGGGTGGTCAGGTGACTGAAACCAGGCCAATGAAACTGCATCCTGTGGGTCTAGATGCAGCTGTTGGAAGAGGAGCTCTCTTTTTCTCCTGGGGTTGCTGAGTGGCTGAATGTGAGCCTGGACCTTCTGGTGGTCACCTTTGCTGCCACTTGTGGAAAAGCAGATCTGAGCACAGAGACAACACAGAAAGAGCACTGTGATGTCATAGAAGGGGAGAGTTTTTTTTCTTGACAACTTTTTTTGAGAATTTTTTTTTTTAAAGAAAAAATTTGAGAGGCATTTATTTTTGAAGTCTTGTGGAAGCCGTGTGGGTTGGATGCCTTTCACTTGTGCTCAAAGGAGGCCAGTGAACTAATTGAGGACAGAGCTGAGCTCAGAGCCTATACTTCTTGGGCTGAGTTCATCTGTTCTTCACTACACACAGGCTCTTCCCTGATTTAATGTCTGTCTGTTTCCTGATTTGTGGTCTAGTGAGAGGTGCTGTTGTCACATGTGTCAGAAATCACCACCTATGGTGGGGGGGCCTGGGTTGTGGCTCTGGGTAGAGTGCTTGCCTAGCATGTGTGAGGCACTGGGTTCAATTCTCAGCATTAAATATGCACACACACACATATAAAATTAAGGCCCATCGGCAACTAAAAAAATATTGGAAAAAATAAAGAAAAAGAAATCTCCATCTATGCTGAGAGATCTCCGTCCACATCAGCCAAGTATTTATTTGGGCAAACATTCTTTGCACGGATCCAATCTTGCTCACCTTTGTCAGACTTGCACAATACTTTCAAAATGAAATTTTACAGCAGAAGGTGTTTGGGAATCAGAGGTGGCATGGGAAGTGTGGGCCTTTGTAGGATATTAGAAGAATTACTATGTGGGTCTCACTTAGTGACTGATACGCAGCTAGTCAGAAGCCAGGAAACATGGCTAGGCTGTCTCTTTTTTCTTTTTTGCCATATTCTGTGTCATCGAATATGACCCCAAATATACAACAATGGTAGTATGGTAGTTGTAGATTTGGGCAGGAATATAAGAAATCTAATTTTCTTAAGAAAGTTAACTTAATGTTCTTAAGTGACACTTATTGTGGACTTCTAGCATGCAAAGTGATGCAGAGAAAAGTGGGTGAAATTAGAACATATGTAACAGTCAGGTTAGGCTAGATTTCACTGCAGTAACAAATAATCCCTAAATCTTGGAAGCTTTTGATCACAAAGATTTGCTACCCACTCATTCCCCATGTTCACTGCAGGTGAGCAATGGATTGGTACCCAGGCTGATAGAGTAGCAAGTATCTTCAGTGTGGTCAGTCAGCATCCTAGACAGGATATGAGCAGTTGAATGGTAGGTATCACTTTTATTCATAACTCAGGAGCCAGAGCTAGGCCACACCCAACCATGAGGTGGGGGACCAGAAAGTACAAAGTCAGGAAATATTTGGTAAGCAGCATTCATGAGATCCAGGGCAGGTAAGTTAGAACTTTGACAGAGAGTGGAAAAAAATGTCAAGGGGGAATAAAAAGAGCACCAATCCTATGGAGGTGGGAAGAG